TCCAACATTGGCAAGTATAGTAGAGAAAGCAAGCATTCCCAAAAGAGATTGCTCATCAGAGCATAAATTATTACAACCACAATCTTAAGGAGGGCAATTTGGTATTATATATCAATCAAAATTTAAAATGCACATCCCCTTTGAAGCAGCAGTGACATTTCTAGGACTTTATCCTAAGGAAATAATTTAACAAATAGGTGAAAACACAGAGGATGCCAAAAAAAATGCATACACATTTTAAGAAAGATAAAAGATTTATTAAAATTAGGCTGATGGTAACCACTTTAAGTACCTCTTGTAATTGCAAAAGTCAAACATGACTTGTGTTCATCTTTTGTTATTGGTATACGTATATTGAGTATTACAATTTTTTTCTTTCTTAAAATATGCATTTTTGGCACCCTCTGTACATGTACAAAGTTGTCCATCACAGCTAAAAAGTTTAGAAGTAACCTAAGTATGCAACATGAAAGATTTGCCCAATATAGCACAGTTCATCCAAGTACCATTTAAACATTAAGCTGGTTATGCGGAGCTATAATTATCAAAAGGTAAATATGTCCATGATAGGTGTAATGAAAAGGCCAGCTTAAAAAAAAAGATATAGATGAAATGACTCCATTTTTGTAAAAAAAAGATGCACATTTGTGAGTATATGTGTACATTCTTTTAAGAATAGATTGTGATTGATTTTATTTGTTTTGGCATGATGCACAGAGCAAATAGATGGATGATATCCAAATACAATAAGGGTATTATTGTACCCAAATACAATAAGGGTACAATAATACCCTTATTGTATTTGGACATGTATAGGGGGTGGGGAGGTAAGTCTTGAAGAAATAATATGTTCAGTGGTATGCTGGTAAATATTTAACAACTAGCCTTCGGGTGGGCAGGATGGAAGTCATATGTGGCATTTACCAATTTCTATGGCGAATACACCCAACATTATTCATTTAAAGCTACTAATACAATGCCACTAATTGTGGCATTGAAAACAGATGTACAGTAGCACATCATTACATAGTATTTCTATGATACATATGAAACAGGTGTGAATAATTACGAGAGTATAGATAATATTAAAATGTAGTAAAATAATTAGAAAATGACAAGTTTTGTGTATGCATTTTTTATAAGTCTAAAAGGAGAGTCACCAATATAATAATATTGATCATGTCTGTATGGAAACTTCATGAATCATATTTACTTTAGTTTTTAGACCTTTATATGTCATTTTAATATTTTTACAGTAAACATGTTACCTTTATAATAAAAAAAAATAATTCAAGGGGTTTTTTTCTTATTTGTTAAAACCTAAGAAAGAAAGAAAATCAGGCAACATCACTTTTAATACAAGTCTCGCTGGAATAAAACACTTTTCCAAAAGGAGTTTGATTTCTCTAGGATGTCACTAAAGATAGTGATCAACAATGTTTAAACATCAATTGAACCATGATATCTTTGTTCAGTTATGGTGTAAGAAAATGAGCATTTAGTGTTTCTGAGGTCTTTCAAACTATAAATATGCAACATTGGAATTCAAAGGCCCTCTGATACTCTCAGTTTACAGATAAGGAAACTGAGTCCCAAGACAGGTAAGTAGTTTCCCAGGGTAAACACTGCAAGGCAGGGTACAAGGTGACTCCGCTCCCCTCCACTTGTGATTAAAGTATATATTCTTCACTTGTCATTATTTCCTGAGAAGTGATAACCTTCTTTGGGGAAGTAGTATTCATTAGATTGGCAAATTGCTGAAGCCCTGACTTGTGCATCTTTGTTTGGGTAATTGCAGCTTACGCTTCTCCAGAATTTTATATTTGTCAAAACACTTCCACATAGATTAACTCTGTTGTTCCTCATAAGAGCCCTGTGAGACAGGTAGGATAAGAAGGACCATTCCTACTTTACAAATAGGAAAACTGAGGCTAGAGCAGGCAAGTGGCTAGCCCAAGGCTAGTAAGAGGCAGGTGTCTGTTCTGGTCATGGTGCTGTCTGGGAGTCAGTCTCCTCTTTGAGGCCTTCCTCTAAAGGTTCATTTCTCCCCTTTCCTTCCTTGTCCTTTGAACAAATTCTTTCTTCCATTTTTCCTGTCTCATTTTTCACTTAAGGATATTGCATTCAAATCACCTAGAGTTGCTCTTTAGTTTGTTTCTTTTATTTTAGAATGAAAGGTAGTCCCAAGCATCCTTAGGCCTGGAAATATTCCTGTTCTTCTCTATTTGACATGAAAGCCAAACCCTAGAATGCTGTTTTCTCTTAGAAGTTGAAGGCATTTCTATCATCAGAGGAATGACTTCAGCAAACGTTCAAACAGTATATATTACAAAGCAAGCAACTGTAAATACTTTGGTATGACACATTTCTACACAACCTTGGCTTTCTAAAAGGGTTAACACTGAAGTCCGGGGAAACAGGCTGACTCAGAAAATACAAATCATACATAATGGAGCATATCCTGGGGAATCTAAGATCAGATGTTCTCCTAAGCTTTGATTAATTAAAGGAGGATGTGTGTTCTCCTGTTAAGAGTATATGATGTCAGATGGGTGCTGGACTTGATGGGGGGATCACTTCATAAGTTGTATGGATGCCTGGCCACCGTGCTCTACACATAAAACTAATACAAAATAATATCAAATGTTAACTATAATTAAAAAAAAAAATATATATATATATATATATAGTCATGGATGTAAAGTATGCATAGGAAATATAATCAATAGTATTGTAATAGCTATTTATGGTGTCAGATGGATAGTAGACTTGTTGGGGTTATCACTTTGTGAGAGGTGTAAATGTCTAATCATTATGTTTAGTACACCTGAGACATAATAATAATAATAATAATAATAATAATAATAATAATAATTAAAATGTTCTCAGGAAGACCTGAAAAAGCTATAAATAAGCTATGTTCAGGTTCAGAGACAAAAAGAGCTACCAGTTTAAACTAAGCTGTGTGGTGCCTCAGCTCCTGGGCTTATGCAACCTTAGACAAGCAAATTCTCAGTACATCAGTTTCCTCATAGTTAAAGTAGAAATCCTAACACTGACCTCACAGAGTATAGTGAAAACTAAATTAGCTAGTAACCAAGAAAATATTTTGTAAACTAAAAATTACTATGAACATGCAGGGAATACATTTCAGATACCTTGATAATTTCTGAAGTTTACTGCTTTATAAGGGGAATGGAGTAGTGAGTTAAAAAGGGACAGTGTCTGATACAGCAACAGGCAGGTGGCCAGGTTTCTCCAGGCAGAACAGGATGGAGAGCTCAAGAGTGCATACTAATTGCTGCACCTCCAATGAGACTACTGGCCAAGTGACTCCTCTCCAGAAAACATAGTGTCCCTTTCCATTATCAAAGGCTCTTCTAACTGGACTTTCAGCTGCATACAGAACAAAGTCAACGCCCTGATGCATTGGGTGGTGCTATTATGAAGATGAATATCAACAAAATTGCTTTGCTAGAATCTGTAGGTTGCAAAAAGGATAGTAGTTTCCCTAGAACTAAGACCGTCTACTCCCAAGTAAGAGTCTTAATGACTCTTGAATGACAAATTGTCGAAGAGCAACAATGAGGGAAAAGAGCAGGTGTGTTTTGATCTGATTATTTGAGGGAGGATAAAAAAAGTATTAGTGGAAAGGAGAACCTGCCTTCTGATGAAGAGCATTCAAGATGACAATCAAATTTTCAACTTAATAGATAGAGTAATGGAATATTCACTCTCTAAAGAAATCACTGGAAAAATAAAGATAGGGTCAAAGGTCATGTTGGTGACGGTTGTGTAGGGTCTGAAGGCAATTGTCATTTGGCGGTCAACTCTGATAAAAGTAAGAAGATAATTAAGAAAGCCACGTAAATTGGGGTGCCTTTTATTTCCCTATAATTTCTTCATTTTTGATAGTAGAACGGATCTAAGTTTAAAGGTTCAAAAAAATGTTGTTGCTATAGGAACAGGTAAGCTGATTAGACTTGAAAGACCAGTTTAGGAACCAAGAATTTAATAGTCAGGGCTAAAGCAATTAACCAAGAAAACATTTTAAGTAAATGTCTTTTGGGTTTGTTATTTACATATTAATTCCAGGAAGATAAAATGCTATTATAGAATGAGAGCATCACATCTTAACATTTTAATTACACCATTATGGGCATAAAAGACTATAATTAGCAGAAAGGCCTTATTAAACAGAAGTAACACATTTCTAACTCTGTCTTGATTACATTGTAATTGAGAAATACAGCTTTAAATTTAGCAAGTGTTAAGAATTGTCTTTGATTTTCCTGCAGTTTCCCAGATGGGAACACATCTAAAATAAAAGAGACAGTAAACTACGGAAAGTTTTCTGTAACCTACCTCTATATCTATTGAACTACAGGTAAATTCTAGAAGTAAACAGAAATAAGTGTAGGCTGATCATTGTTAATATTTTATGTTTTTCCTGTCCAACAGTCTTTGTGAACACAGGTCTGTGAGAAGGGTCAAAGACCCAGCGGCAGTCCTACTTCCTATTGATATTCTGCTCCTTCCTATCTGGGAGTACGGCTCGGCTCCTCACCTTAGGGCTTTCCTGAAATTATTAGAAGTTTTGAACAGAACTTGCTACACTGGTAAGGCTCAAAAATGCATTGTGCTTCCCTCCCTTTCTGTTTTCTTTAACAAGAAAACATTTTTGATAAAATGAACACACTATTTTCAGTCTAGCATATTTCTGCTGTCAGAGGCTACACTTATGGGACAGAGAGATTGCCTGGACATTACCTTTTCTCACATAATACCAGAGTCCAACTACAGAGAAGTGTGTGTGTGTGTGTGTGTGTGTGTGTGTGTGTGTGTGTGTGTGTGTGTGTGTGTGAGAGAGAGAGAGAGAGAGAGAGAGAGAGAGAGAGAGAGNGAGAGAGAGAGAGAGAGAGAGAGAGAGAGAGAGAGAGAGACAGTGCTGGAGGCTGGGGAACAGAAATGAGAGGAGAGGAATGTGGCTAGAATCTTACCATCTCATTTTCTTCTCCTTCATTGAGCAAAGCGTGCTGGCCCTTCTCAAAGTGGTCCCCCATGAAAAAGTGATCCCACGTGCTCCTCCCTGACCTTCCCAGAGCAGACACTTGCAGGACGAACTTGCAGAGCCTCCGCCGTCTCAGGCTGACTGAAAGAGTTAATGATCCTCCAGGTTAAAACTCCTTGAGCATACACCTTCTCAGCAAATGACAACAGCTTAGCAAACTCAACTCCTCCCACGAGTCACCCTCTGCTGGGAGGACTTTGCCTGCTCCTTGCTACCGCCTTCTCTCAGAGCAGCTGTCCCAAAGGAGGCTGCTCCCATGTGGATATTTTTTGTGCCCAACTTACAGGGAAAGAACTCATTGCCTGCCCAGTGTCTGCCAGCATGAGACATCTGACTACAAATCCACTGGACAATGCGGGGTTGGCAGAACCCTTCTGAGGAATGGGGCAGACTCAAGAACTCCCAGGTCACTGCTTTATTCACAGAGGCTAAAGAATTGGGGTTGGAGTGAAGTTAACAGAGCTGCAGATTTTATGTGATTAATGAAAGCCCCAACCCATCAGCTTTTAATAGTACCCTCATTCATTTTACTTACAAAGGGTACAAATTATGACTAATCCTCCTCAAAATCCATTTGTAAAAACATTTCTTTGTGTTTGCAAAAAGCATCCTACTTAATGTGTGTGTGGAATGAAGTTTATTTTTGTGAAAAACATCTAGAGGAAGAACAAAGATACGATCAAACTACTTTATGTAATCTCCGTTCGTTAAAATATTGGTGGTTAAACTCTTAAGGGGTCTAGAAATAAAATATTCAAGTGATTACGTGGCAATACTCATTTTTTAACTTATTCATAAATTCATTTAATACACGTTATTTGAGCAGAGACTACCTACGTGTATATAAATCAAATCACATTTGCTCCCCTCAAATTGATGTAGTAATTCAAACATGCAAACAAATATGATAGAAGGTGGTTAGTTCTTATGAAAGCTGGAAAGGTATTTGTAACCACATTTCTCTGTGTATGCAAAAAAAATCTACTTAATGTGTATGTAGAATTAAATTCACTTTTGTGAAAACATATAGAAAAAGAGCAAAGGTATAATCAACCTATTTTGTGTAGTCTCCTTTCATTAAAATACTTGTGGTTAAACTCTTAAGGAGGTCTAGAAATAAAATATTCTTCCAACAGCCCTGTAAAATTATTAGTCCTACTTTATATATGAGCAATCTTTGCAGCCCTGCACAAGCTCCCTCAGCTAGTTGTAGATCCTAATCTCAGGATTTGCAGTGATTATAAATCCGTGCTCCTTTCAATACAGTCATATGCCACATAAGGGCATTTCAATCTACGACAGACCACATACACTATAGTGGTTCCAAAAAGATTATAATGGAGCTCAAAAATTTCTATTGCTTACTGATGTCATAGACATCATTGCCATTGTAATATCATAGCTCAACCCATCACTCACGTGTTTGTGGTGATGCTGGTGTTAACAAACCAACTATGTTACCAGTTGTATAAAGGTATAGCACTGGGTGGCTGGTTAGTTCAGGTGGTTAGAGTGCAGGCTCATCACACCAAGGTTGTGGGTTCGATTCCCACATGAGCCAAGGAGCTGCACCCTCCACAACTAGATTGAAACAACTATTTGACTTGGAGCTGATGTGTCCTGGAAAAACACTGTTCCCCAATAAAATTTCTTAAAAAAAAATTATAGCACATACAATTATGTACAGTACATAATACTTGATAATAATAACAAATGACTAAATACTGATTTATGTATTTACTATATTATATATTTTATCATTATTTTAGAGTGTGCTTGTTCTACTTAGAAAAAAAAGTTTTGCTGTAAGACAGTATGCCATGTTATACTGGCATCTTGTGTTTAACACATCGTAGGATTTTCCCTTGTACTTGATTTATTCTCCCCATTGTTAAGTGGCATATGATTTTATGACAGATGCAATGTGATTTTGTCTATATGTGGGATCTAAAGAACAAGATAAACAAACTAAACAGAAACAAACTCATAGATACAGAAAACATTTTGATGGTTGCCAGATGGGAGGGAGGGTTGAGGGTGTCAGCAAAAAAGAAGGGATTAAGAAGTACAAATTGGTTGTTAAAAAGTTGTTATGGGGATATAGAATATAGCATAAAGAATATAGTCAATAATATTGTACTAACTATGTATGGTGTCAGATGGGTACTAGATTTGTTGGGGTGATAGATGGGAGGGGGTTAGGGGGCCAGGGTGAAAAAGGGCAAAGGATTAAGAAGTACAAATTAGTAGTTACAAAATAGTCGTATGGATGTAAAGTACAGCATAGAGGATATAGTCAATGATATGGAAATAGCTATGTATAGTGCCAGGTGGGTACAAGATAAGTCAGGGGGATCACGTCTTAAATTATATAAATGTCTAATTACTAAGCTGTATACCTGAAATTAATATAAAATAATATTGAATGTCAACTATAATTGAAAAATTAAAAAGGGATGGGAAAGGTAAAAGGGCACACGAGATCCAAATTTCCAAGTATAAAATAAGTCATGGGGATATAATACAAAGAAGAAAGGAAGGAAGAAAAGAAAGGAAGGAAGGAAGGAAGGAAGGAAGGAAGGAAGGAAGGAAGGAAGGAAGAAAGAAGGAAGGAAGGGTTTCAAAACCAGATGCAGAACTTAAGTTGTGAGATAAAGTAAGATCCTCCCAGTGTCTTTATCCTCTCCACCTGCCATTTACTACTCCTTCTTCCCAGAGGATGTTCAGTCTTCACTTTCCATTTCTTTCTCTTCTTCTATTTTCCTCAAGCCTGACCCAAATAAGAATCGCAGTTGAAAAATGCGTCATTTTCAAGTCCAAACATCACACGATGGGAGAATATTTCATTTTTATTTCATGTCATCTCAGGTCATTGTGTCAAGTTATTAAACCAGCCACAAGCCTCAGCAATCATCCCTGAGAACTGCGAGGCACAGAATCCTGTTGCAGAAATGCTGAGGACATGGAAGCACTTTGATTTGACTATCTAATCAGAACTTGCAATTTTGAAAATTTTTTGTTGGGAATTAAAATTCCGTATCCTGGCACCCCCATCACTATACAAATGGGTTAAAAATCATTTTAAATCAATTTGCATTTACGAATGAAATGGAAAATTATGTTTTGAAGTACCTCTCCCCCTACCCATACACACATTCAACTTTTAAAATGACCCATTTCTCATTAATTTAATCTTTAATTAAAAATTTGAGGTAATTTAGAAATGAGCTAATTTAAAATTTTTGCTTTTGTACATCTTGTAGAAGAAAATTAATGGAGTAAACACAATTGCAAGAGTAAATTTTACTTGCATATATAAACTATATTAAAGTTTGGGGGGAATATAAGCCTATGGAAACATTTCAATGGTGAGATGACTCAGTGCCATGTTGTTTGACTTATATTGTTGCTGACCATTCTTATATATTCCTTAAAGCAGCACCTCTACTAAAACATGTGCTAACCTAGATCCAGGTCCTATTTGAAAGTAATAGAATTGTATTGCTATTTAAATATTTTATTAATTTGGGTAGTTTATTAATTCTAATCAGTCATGGTCATAATTAGTCTGTTTTATTATAATTTTATATTTATTTTATACTTTAGTATAAATTAATTTTTTTCCTATGAAAGTCCTGAAAATAAAAATTTATTTCACCAGTGTCAGTTAAAAAAAAAGAGAGAGAGAGATTGACATTGTGAAGCTCCCAGTGGAGGCAAGCAAGAGACTTAGACTCTGTAGAGGTTAAGTAGAACTTAAAGAAATGATGCAATAGCAAAAATGTTTTTAATGACATTTCCTTTTTCTTATTATGACATTAAAGCATGTTTGTTGTGGAAATTAGATGATACAGGCAAGTGAAGAAAGCAAAGAGTGAATTCTACTCAGAGATAGTCACTGTTAGATGATGCTGTTTTGTTTTTTTGTTTTTTGTTTTATGTTTTTTTTCATCTATGCATTCATGGATAATAGCAGGCTCATGTTGCATATAAAAATTTGCTTCTTGTTTTTCATTTAATATTTAATTACCTTTTTCATATGATTAAACATTTCTGAAATTGTTGCTATTTAATGAATACATAATATTCCATCAGGTTGAATTTATTCAACTTAAACTATGCTGCGTTAAATTTTTGTATGTGCATATTTTTAATATAGCCAACTTTATTCCCTTAAGGATAATTTCTAGAGGTAGAATAAAGTGGTGATAATAAAAGTATCTGCCTTATAGAGCTGAGGACAGGAAAATTAGATCAGTTAAACAACTTAGGACAGTGTTTGTTTGGTACAGGGCAAGCATTCAGTGACTATTAGGTGTGACTATTATAACATATTTTGCTTGATAAATATTGACAAAAAGTCTTTCAGAAAATTCCTTTTCATTCCTAACATAAGCACGTCACCAAATATTTTCATAGTACTTGAAAATATTGTGAACCACAACACTGGGCTTCGTGAATGGCATCTGGGGTAAGAGATGGGGTCTTGGCCAAAGGGAATGAAAAAATTAGCAATAGCAGAAGCCCTCCCGAAGAGTGGGGTTTGAGGGGTGAGAAATAGCATGGAAAGGAAGGGTGAGGCAAATGTTACCATCAGATCTAATGGAAGCGTGACCAGGGCTCATGCTGGGATAGTGCATGTGTTTACGTGTGTGTGTGTGTGTGTGTGTGTGACATTGTGGGTACAAAGAGAAAGGGGTGCAAGGCTCTTGTGATGCCTAATGTTTCTCTGGGATTGGGAAGCCCCAGCAGATCAGAGGTACACAGTCAGAAGGAGTCACAGATTATTGAGGGCAAAATACAAATTGAGTGGGTCACCAGTGCTTGAGGAAGGAGGCAGATCAGTTGCTGTCCAAATACAAGGGATATTCAGTTTTGTAGAAGCTGTAAGCTGGAAACCATACGTTCTATCATAGATGCAAAGAAAAGCCTGAAGATCCAAAATTAAGGGTAATTACTGAGGTAGTTAAATCTCAATATGTGAAGCTGGAATTTAGGGCCATAGCAAAAGAATAGGTTAAAAGAGCAAAGGCAGGCACATTGCCTCCAGAGAACCACGGTCTAAAATGCATCTGTTACCTGGAGGGGAAGAAAGCATTTGACTTGCTTCTTTCAGCAACCTCAGCGGTTTGTGAGTTGAGGACTCAGGCACTCTATTCTATGCTGCTTTCACCTCTTGTTACCTCACACGATGCTTACCCATGACAGTCTCATGGCCTGCCTTTCGTGGAGCACTTAACTGTGTTGAGCAGTACTAAGCACTTTACAA